TGTGTGTGTGTGTGTGTGTGTGTGTGTGTGTGTGTGTGTGTGTGTGTGTGTGTGTGTGTGTGTGTGTGTGTGTGTGTGTTCAGTCTCAGCAGGTCTCCTCTCCTTTGTTTCCTTTAGATCAGGTTCAATAACTGAAACAATCTCAGATCTGTGTTCATTACTAGACGACTACTAGAGTTTTCATTTGTGTTTTCAGAGTATTTTTCTTGTATTTTCTGGTATTTTCCAGTGAAAACTAGTACAAGAAAAACATCAGCTACACATTTTATACACTTTAAAGTTATGTGTGTTTTGTGTTAACATGTGTGTGTGTGTGTGTGTGTGTCTTTTTCAGATTGTGTACTTCACGGCGACCTTCCCCTACATGGTCCTCATCATCCTGCTGGTCAGAGGCGTCACACTTCCTGGAGCCTACGACGGCATCATGTACTACATCAAACCTGATTGGTCCAAACTGGGGGAGGCTCAGGTCGGTTCACAGCAGAACAGGTTCTTCTAACAAGAACTAGTTCACAGCAGAACGGGTTCTTCTAACAAGAACTAGTTCACAGCAGAACAGGTTCTTCTAACAAGAACTAGTTCACAGCAGAACGGGTTCTTCTAACAAGAACTAGTTCACAGCAGAACGGGTTCTTCTAACAAGAACCAGTTCACAGCAGAACGGGTTCTTCTAACAAGAACCAGTCACAGCAGAACAGGTTCTTCTAACAAGAACCAGTTCACAGCAGAACGGGTTCTTCTAACAAGAACCAGTTCACAGCAGAACAGGTTCCAGTCCGACATTTCTTCTTGCTGTCGTTCCTTTCTGTTTCTTCGTCTCACTGTAACAGCAGAATTTTTAAACATATGAAAGATTCTGAGCTGAGCAGTGAAGGCATCACACACCCCTGACCTTTGACCTGTGATCTCCTTTCAGGTGTGGATCGACGCCGGCACACAGGTCTTCTTCTCCTACGCTATCGGGCTCGGAGCTCTGACGGCTCTGGGAAGCTACAACCGCTTCAACAACGACTGCTACAAGTACGTTTACTGAGCGCCCTCTAAGTACTGCTGGCTAGTATAATCTACTGTAGTACTTCATTTTTATGAGTACATCATATGTTTGTACTTAAAAGAACACTTAATACTTCAGTTGATCACAAACATTTAACTTCACCAAATCTAGCGATACAAAGTTTACAAAAAACATCTGAGAAGAAACTAAAGTACAATATGTACCTCTGAGGTGTAGTACAGTATAAAGTACAATATCTACCTCTGAGGTGTAGTACAGTATAAAGTACAATATGTACCTCTGAGGTGTAGTACAG